TAAACCCTAAATCCTAAACCCTGTGCAACCACGAAGCTTTAAACATCCTTAAAACCAAGTTGAACCATAACCCCGGAGCCTTGAAGGTTAGTGGGTGCTGGTGTGGCGTTGCTCGCCTTTGGCCGTCTCGCGGGCTCCAGCTTCGCTTGTGCGCCCAAGCGGCGATGCGAGTGCTCAGGGGTTTCGGGATTCAAGGTTTCAGTTGTGGGGTTATTGTTTTCGGAAGTTAGGGTTTGGGGGTTGAGGGTTTAGGGTTTGGGTTTTGTGTTTTTTTTTCACAGGTTAGGGTTTCAGTACTCGGGGCTTCAGGATCTACAGTGTTGTGGGTGTGAACAGATTGTATAGCTTAGACTGCTGGAGCTTGAACTATTGTCTGTAGAAGTTTGATTGCCTCAGGTCGGCATTTGTATATACCGTTCCTTACAGGAAAAAGCGGTTTTCGTTTTTTGCGTAGAGGTCGAGGGTCGAGGTGCGGTGACTTGCTTGCAATCACGGCCGCTCTCTCAACCCGTCATGTGTAGTCCCCCTAAACCCTAAACCCTTGAACGCTAAACCCGGACCTGTTTGGCAAAACCCACCTTGGCCATCTCAGGCCTCAAGCCCGACACTTCGACCAGGGGTTAGTAGGGTATAGGGTTTATGTGTTCTTTTAGCACCAAGACCATGTCATGCTGTGCTCTCACGCTGGCACCCTTGATCTGTAAAGATTATTATAAACCCTGCAACAGAATCCCAAATACTTGTCACCCCACTTCCCGAATCCGCACGAACCTAAACTATCCTGAAGCTTCAAGAGCTTGCATGTCATGTGTATTCCCGTGCAAGTTGTACACGCGGTTCCATGTCCAGTGAAGCCTAGAGCAGACCGAGGCGGAACCGTTGGCTTTGACGAGCTCTAGGAGAGGGTGGACATGGGTCGACAAGTTAAAAAATGGCCTCGCTTGATACTTACACCTTATAAGGTTGTGGGGTATACTCTATGCCTCTATGCTATAAATGCAGCAAGGAACCCCAAATACAATTGGTAATTATTCAGGCTCCTGGATTAAACCTTCAGGGCCGGGGGCTTATGGGTGTTTCGCCTCAGAGTTTTAGACTGGTGTGGGCTTTGGAGTGACACCAAGTTGTGATTATGTTTGTTAAAGAGCGTTCCGGTGATCTTTGGATTTTGGCACTCGGGTGGCTTGGTGGGTGATGCTTGAGGCTAACAGCCAAATGCTCTCTGTGTGTAAAGTATGAAAGTCTGTGTGTGTAAGGAGAACTCCCAAGCCCAAAGCATGAGATGCTCCAATCTTTAGAATGCTCAATGGTGAAGAACGACTTTCATGTGCAGCCCATGAAGACGCCGGATATTCAAGGTCCTTCCTGACAGATTTAATCACATGCGGTAGATCCCTAAAACCCGCGAGGCCATGAAGCTCTTCGGAAGGACATAGTCGGGTAGACCATGGGCTGCTGGCACCTGTGCCTGGAGCGCAGATAGGTTCCATGAAAGACTCGCGCAAGAAAGCGTTCTATCTTCTGGGCAACCCACAACTGCCATGGTTTTTCCAAAACCCACATGACTGCAAAACCGTATGTGCCCCGGTCGTAACATCCCCACAAACCTAAAGCCCCGAAGCCCAAAGTCCGCAAACATTGCATCCCAAAACCTTAAACCCCGAAAATCCAAACTCCAAGCCCCTTAAGCCGCATGCACGTGACGAGTTATGACCCATCAATGCAACATAACGTAACCTTTATGACCCAAAACCCGTCATACCCGAAACCAAACGACCCCTCAACCCTGAACCTTATAATCCCGATCTAAACCCTAAAGCCCAAACCCAAAACCCTGAACCCTAAACCCCGTATAAACCCCCAAAAAACCCTAAAGCCTCTAAACCCTAAAGCCCTTAAACCCTAAACCCCTAAACCCTCACCTCTAATCCCTAAACCTAAACCCTAAAGCCCTAAACCCCAAAACCCAAAATCCTGAACCCTAAAGTCCCAAATCCCTAAACCTAAACCCTAAACCCCTAAACCCTCACCCCTAATCCCTAAACCTAAACCCTAAAGCCCTATGGCCTCATAGCCCGAAGGATTCCTTCCAGAGCGCTCACGGGCGGCCCCGGGCCTGTCCGATTGGGCCGCGCAAGAGGAGGTCCTTTGTCTTTGTGGTGTGGGTTTTCAGGGCTTTTTGGGGTGTTTGAGGGTTTTCGGGATCTACGGTTCAGGGTTTTTGGTTTTTTTGGGGGGTTGAGGGCTTTCGAGTTTCAGGGATTGTTTTTTAGCTGCGGGCATTTGGGCTCTATAGGGTGTTGTTAGTGAGGGTCTGCAAGGTCTTCAGGATTCAGGGTTCCAGCACCGTTCGTAGAGGCCAGATAATGAGCGAAAAGGTTGTTCAGGCGATGGCCTAGGTAGGTTGTTCTGCTGAAGTTTTTTGCTTGCGCAACCATTCTGTAATGTAATAATGAATGGCAAATCTGCAACGAAAACCGATTGCATCAGCGATCTTGCTTTCCTGTTGAATGATCAGGATCTTCACATGCCGTAGAAATTGTTCCTGCCGCAGGTTATGTCATGTCGGACTGCCAAAAGCGTACACATGAATCCAGCTGGCTAGTTCATGCAGATGAGCCCGTTGAAACCCCAGCAGCCCCTCAGCCCTAAATTTCAAAACCTTCCCTAACGACCCTTCTTGTTCGCGCTTTGCCCGACAAGGTGAGCGCCTTCGCAGTCGGGTGGCAGCGGCGGATGAGGACGGGCAACTGGTGTGGTCTAAGAGCCGCGATCTTACTTGTAGTACTTAGTACTCTTGTTATACATTGCGGAGTATCTGTAACAAACTTTCCAATCGAAGTTGCTGTACGCCGCAACAAGATTCAGTTTGGATTCTTGCGCCCCCTTCAGTAAAGAACATGGAGAAGGGGATGCAGCAAGCAGCATGGACTTGCTTTCTTCCTCCGTCGGAGCATCGGTTGGCGAGAGCAAGCAAACAAGATCTGATCATTTGAAGTCATAAACAAATCGCCTTTGTTGCAGACCTGATGACCAAGTCTGAAACCCGAGTATTTGGAGATATCTTCGTAGCAGCGATAAAACCCGCGACAATTGCCGAAATTGCTCAGTCGTTCAGATTATAGTGGCCTGGGCCTATTGTGTTTAACAGTTCAGTGTTCCTGATGGTTCCGGTTCACACGCGTTCACAAGGCTTGCCACCAAAAAACAGCGTGAATTTTACGGCATGATCAACAACATAGAAGAGCTGTGGAAGCTTGCCGCTATCAACAGTCAATCCAGTTCCCGGGAGGAACTGCAAATTCAGTTTCCCTTGCGGTTTGGTTTTTGGAAGTGTTGCCATCCTTTAAGTGTCCTGAAGCATGCAGGATTCGCCGGGCACCGATGTGAAGACAATAGATGGTAACCTGGCTGACGGGTAACCAGCTTTGTCCGTTGATTCTTGCATAATTGTGTGGATCCGGTGCGGCCCAAACAGAATGAAGCCGTCTGTCTATGATCTACCTAACCCCTATAAGCGTCCGTAAACCTCTGAAGTGTCGGCTAGTTCGATTGCGGGCTGCGCCCCCCAAGATCGAAAACATCGCTGAAGAGCACCCGACACTCAGGTACACTAGAGTCTTCAGCAATCCGTTATCATAGAAGGACCTGCCGATAACCATGCACAGCACAGCAACAGCCTTCCAAAACTCATAGAACCCCCGCAAGACCCTGAAAAAGAAACAACCTGAGTGTCTCCAAGGGAAGAGACCCACAAGAAAAATGGAACACTAGAACACCTTACAGACAAAACCGACGACCCTTATGAAACCTGGAAATGCATACAACCTAAACCCTAAAACCGCCCGATAAGACCGCCATAAGCCACCTCGAAATGATACAACCTAAGCCCTGAAACCGCCCAGGGAAGAAGGAAGCCTCTTCCAAGACCGAGATGCTCCGGTTTGCTTTGCCGGCGCTGGGGATCTACCTCGCCAACCCCATCATGAGCAACATCGACCCTTGGTTGGGGTACAGATTATGGTGTATCTTAGATAGCCAATGGGAGAACTTTAAACTCCTTTGGCCTGGTATATAATGTCTATCCTCAGAACACATGTTTACAATATTAACATACATGTACGTCTTTCGGTGGATTGAAATTATGCAAATTCGTCGATCCTTGGGGAGAACTACTGTTGAAAGGGTGCTCATTGGGTGTCGTATACAGCACGCGTGGTAACCCCGAACATCCACATGCATTGATCCTGGCCTAGTGTATACGAACACCGAGCCTTAGCCGTTGAACCTCAGTTGGATCTGAAACCGCTCCATCGACATGTAAATGACAGGACAAACCCTTCAACCGTGAGTTGGCATCCCAAACCCCAAGCCAAGACATTCACCCTAAACTGCTGAGCCCGTGCGCCCTCAACGCTGCAAGGACAATAGCTTTGTTGGCCACTTTGGCGGCACCACTGCCTTGGCAGCGCTGAGCCCCGGAGGTGCAGCTCCTTGGGTCTAAGCCATTTCGGTGGTACAGCGTACTGTACAGTAACTACCACCTATCCCAAAGCATCCATGCACCCTTGTTGAGCATACTTTGGCCCCCCAAGTTACTTCCCAGGCAAGCACAGCTGCTCGTGCCCGAACGGCCCACAAAGCTGAACTGAAACTTCTAGCTGAATTTCAACCTCCTAGGAAATGATAAGCAGTTGAGCGCCGAGCTTGGTTGCAGGTGTCCTGGCAGACAACTTGTTATATCTCTTCAACTCAGTGTTGAGCGCGGCTACCACGGGACTGGTTGCACGGGCAACTTTGCCACATTGGAAGTAGACGTTGTATGAAGATGTTGAGATTTAAATCATAATAAGCCCTATATACTATAGACCCTCAATAGCCGGGCCATGGTGTGTGCGAACACGGTCAATGTCCGAGGCTCGAGCTCACACGCCCTGGAAACTTTCACATAACCGTCTGCAGAGGCTTTGGGACAACATTACGAACCCTGCACACACACTGGATACCGATGGAGTTTTAGGCCTCGTGGCTTTGAGGGCAGGGTAACTTGATAGGGTTCCGAATTGTCTGCACAGAAATCTGCTTTTCCAGTCCTCTAAAAGGCGAGAGGGAGCCTTGACCCAACATGTTTCGTCGAAAAAAGCTTTGGACCCCGGATTCGCAAACCAACGCCTTGAAACAAGTAGACATGCCTGTCATCCCGATTGCAGCAAAAAATGCTAGACCCGAAACCCCATGAAAACGATGCCTGTCTCTAAGGTAGTGCAGATTCATGAACGGACCTTTTCAGAAGAAATCATGGTAAGCCGGTTTAGTACTCCATATGACATCCCCTAACCCCTAAACCCTAAACCCCAACCCAACTTTGCAAAACAACCCTAAACCCTAAAGCCTAAACCCCAACCCAGATTTGAAAAAAAACAACCCTAAACCCTAAACCCTTTAGTCGACGGGCTATCGGACTGCCTGGGCTCCGAGCCGAGCCTCCGAGGCATGGCCCAAAGGCGCCGCAAACGCTAGGGAGGAATCGCGGAGGGATCAGGGTTGAAGATTAGGGTTTGGGTTTAGGGTTTAGGGAGACTTTGCTTTTTTTTCCTAGGGCTACATAGGCTTATTTATAGGGATATGTAGGGTTGCGGCTAATCATTCTACAGGCAGATTTGAGGTCGGCCTTTGCGATCAGAAAAAGATGCTTAAACTTAAACTAAGATGGTGACTAGAGCTTGGTTTCTGCAGGATCTCAACGCAAAACAAGGGTGCGTCCGGTGTCTGCATTCAGTTTTTATCCGTCTGGGGGTTACGGGGCTGCAGTGCCGTGTGGGCTAGGATTGCGTAAGCCTGCCCAGTATGCTTTCAGATCTTTTTGGGTGCATAGAACGTTCCTGGGTTGTTGTTGTTATTGTTGTTGCGCCAGAGCATTTTGCCGAGAATAGAAGCTCTGCAGCCACTTCCAACAAGTACGGTTTTGTTTGCAAGATGTGACATCAAAGATTTCACAAGGACCACCTTAATTGCAACAGCATCCTGGTGCGCACGGAAGGAGCTCATCCGGACCTTTAGTTTCGCGCTGGCTTGTGGCTTCTTGGTGGATAAAGGAGAGAGAAGGCAGTCGGAAGTTTCGAAGTCATTTGACAGGTGTGAATCTGGCATTCTGCTTTTGATTAATGGAGCTCGTCGTCCTGGCAGCTTTCGTTCTGCCATCCACAGGACGGTGACTGATGCTTGCCGTGACGGTACGAATGTCATGATAACTTACTACTGGTTCACTACTATAACAGGCTGCTACTACTACTACGACGACGACGACTACTGATGCTAGTGACACCACTGCCGTCACTACTGCCGGCACAAGCAAGAGCCGATGAGTGCAAAGTTGCGTGGTGTCGATGACATTAATCTTGCATGCAGCAAAACTATCATAATGGCAAGACGGTGCTGACACATGTCTTCAAGCCCTACATCCCAGAACTTTCCCAGGTGTTCCCCTGAGTTTGTTCTACTGGTTTTGCAGCAATTGGGTCCTTGGCCTCATGGGCTCCTTGGACAGCATTTAATTAACAGATTTCGGGGCTGCTAGGCTGTTAAGTCTTTTTAGTTGTTACGGTGTTGCGTGTTGAAGTTTAGAGTTGCTAATTGTTTGCAGTTTTGGGTTCAGGCTTTGGCTTTGGGAGTTACTGAAGACGTGAGGGTTGGGGGGCTGCAGGGTTTAAGATCAGGCTTTCCAGAGCCCAGTTTGTGGATGCTATGTTCGAGTCGCTAGACCTTTAGGTCCCACTTCCTGCAGTGATCAAGTTGGGCAAACTATGTTGTTGTGGGGTGTGAACATTCCGTCAACGGGTAAAGTTAAAGTTCATGCTGCTGCATAACTAATACATCAAACCTCGTGCCACACTAGCAACTTAGCATCCACGTGTGCTGTTGGCTGGTTCAATCCAAACCTTCCACCTTTGCCGAAAAACTTGCAGCTCCGTCCCAGACCGCTGGCTTCATTGAATTTAGGTTTGCAGCCGTTCCTGTATCGGGAAATGTCGGGAATGTTTGGGCACTTGGGTTCGTTGTTGTCCGGTTCTGTGGGGCTCCAGCTCTCCTTTCATCGCTTCGAGGCGTGGCAGCAACACAACCGCTTGAGTTTGGTTCGGCGTGATTCATACGATCGTTTCAACTTCGGTCATGCAAACCGACCGCAGCGAGGTGTACCTCAGAACCTCCAGGCAATGGCAGCGTCGTATGCGCGGATACGAGGCACGACTCTAAACTGCACATACTTGTTAAATGCTAAGCTTAAAATCAGCAATCGCCATGTTTCTTGGTATTGTATTCAAGGCATTATGCGGGGTGTTGTACTTCTGGTTTGGGGAAGCTCAGCCAGAGCCTAGGATTCGGATGGTAGGGAGAACGCACACACATGGTTCTCGGCAAACCGGCTGAAGGGCTTGAGTTCTACCTGATTTAGACCCCTGAATAGTTGTTCCTGCACGCAGCAACGATGATAGAAGGATCCGGTCCGACTAGCAAGGCTCTTTAAAGCAAGGAGGCTCCGCATGTTGGAGATCTGCAGAGAGAGTCAGTTTCTGAGTTGAACCAGGTCATGTCGTAACAGCCAGCACAGTGTATGTTTGTCCAGCAGGCCAGAAACTTGAATTCCAGCAGTCATCATATTCGGAGCTTCAAGCGGAATTTTGGCCAGGTCTCGTTTCCTGGGCCTCGCTTGGCCAGGGTGTTTGCAACCTGCTTGCATGATGTCTTGGGGGCTGTTGTGTGGTTGTTCAGTTGTTCATATCCTCTTGGCCACTATGCGTTCGTTATTTGTTCCGGCATCGGGGCAGTCATTGGTTTTGGCTTGAACTATGCATTTGTCTGTTTTCCTTTCGATAGCTGTGACTTACTTCGCTGTTCTAGATTCACTGGCATTGCGATGGTCTCAGCTAGCACTTGTATTGTCGCCCGTGAAAGTACCGTATTTGTGGGAGGTGCCATTGCATGATTCTGTCTTTCAGGGCTGTAGAGCCGTTTATTGAGGTGGGTTCGGGCTTTCGATGTCCCGGCTTTGCGCGCCGATTTCCTTGATTCTTGCGCTGTTGCTGTGCCAACGATCTTACGAAGGCCCAAGGCCCACTTTCATAAACCCGAAACCGAACACATAGTCTGCTCGGGCTTGTGTCGTGGACAGGCCGTTTCGGCACGTTTGTGGATGGTTACCACAAGAAGAAGCCAAACCCTAAATCCGTATAGCCCTAAACCCCCGAACCCTAAACCCCTAAACCCTAAACCATTGTAAACTTTCCTGAGCAAAAACACAATCGCAGGGCATAGCTGTGCAAGGCCTCTCGGCCATCCTTGCCACGAGGGACGCTGTGACGCCGCTGCGCGTGGTCGTCGTTGCAGCGGTGGGGGCCTTGGGGTTTTCAGTCTCTTCTGGTTTTCCCACAGCAACAAAGATGAGGATCTGATCTAAGTTAAGGTCGTTGAGGGTTTAGGGTTGTAGCGGATGGGTTTTGGACTCCACCACACTTGGAGTTTGGTGGGTTATGGAGCCAGAGGCCTTGCAACAGCGTGGTCTATGATTCTTTGCAAATGACCTACAGGGAGGACTGTTTCTCAGATTGCTTACTGGAAAATTTCGTACCTGAACCCTCACCCTCTAAACCCCAAACCGCCCTAAACGCCTATAAACCCCATGGACCCTAAACCCCAAACCCTAAACCCTATCACTCCCCCAGTTGCTGAACGTCCTGGGTGACTTCCTCCTTTGCTGCTGGCCCCTCCGAGCCAGAGCTGCAATGGCTTTGGAGCCAAGCCGACACATGAAATCCGGAAAGACCATGGGCCTACCCATAGGCGCCTAAGTAGTTCCTTTTTGTGGTTTATATTTAGAATCCTATAAGGTAATCCCAAAAAGAACTACTTAGGAACCTATGGGTAGGGCTTCTGGTGCCCCCAACACCTATACCTTTGCGTCAGGGTCGGAAGAGGGGATCCGTAAGGTTCAAGTCGTTTAGAAGCAGTCGTCAAATGCAAGTTCCCACAAACCGCAAGGAACAGGCGTTTCCGGGGCAGCTGCTGCCACAGCGATTTCAACGATGTGCGGCTTCGCAGCTGGTCCTGGAGTGAGTTTTGAAGCGGTGTTTAGATACAAACGGCCACCAGGCAAAGCAAACTGGTTGCCCCGGACACTGACATGTTAGTTCCTTTGGCTGTGGTCTCTGCTTAAATCGTCAGCTTCGTGTTCAGAAGCAGCGAGCCAACCACAGACCAAATCTACCACCATTTCGATTCCGGGCCCCACGCCCTTTGTGCGGCATTTCGCTCTATTGCCACAACTCCACGGAGACCCATGAAGCGACTAGTATCAGTGTACCGTACATCTTCTTCTTAGCCTTAGAAGACATGATAGAGTTGATTAATCCTGGGGTTTTGTGAATTTTGGGGGGTCCATGGGCTGGAACCCCCAAAGCCTGAACCCTTATCTTTCAGGCATTCATGATGCGCAGCCTGCAACGAAAGCAGATTCTTCCCACCTTCCGACGCGGAGCCTTGCGCGATGCTGGGCCCGTCCTGGAGTACGCCCGGACCTCAGGTTTTGTGTTTGAGGCTCGGGCTTCGTTCGGTCTCAAGGGACCCGAATGAGTAGATATGGGAGTACTCGAGTTTGGAGTGTCCCGGCCGTACTTCTTAGTTCGACGGGGTTGCTCGAGATTAGGTCTATGGGCTCAACATTGGAAACTTGTTGGTCTTTGCGACTAACTAAAGCATGCTGGTATATGTGGATATAGAAAAAATGAGGCACATGGTGTTGTCCTGGTGGTTTTGCTTACTGGTTCAGGTCTCCTGGTGTGATCATGTTGACTGCACTTGCTCCAAGTTCGGTTTTCACATCTTGTTGCTTAGTGTCGCTATTGGAAGCATGCAACTTCCAGGTCTTCATTCTGGAGCGGCGATGCATGCAGTCTTTCAATTGAAGACCCTACCCATACCAGAGACCCCGAATCCTTGAAAAAGCCTTAGTTTCACAAATCCTAGAGAGTCCCTGGTTCTTAGTAGGGAATGGGGGTATGGATCCCTACAAGGTCCCCGAAAGTGCTCCCCCATTCCCTACTAAGAACCAGTCAGATGATTTTCGGGAAAAAGCCCAGGCTGGTCCTATGCTCGTGATCAACATGACCCGCATCGCTCCTGGGCCGAGCTCCATAAGAGATGATAAAGGCAAACGCTATTTTGAGGAGGCAGAGGCTCGTGAACCGCAGCTGCAATCGTTCGTTTCGGGCGTGTACTTTCGGGGTTTGTGGAGGTTAGCAGGGTACAAGGAATAGGCCATAATTGGGTTTTGGGCCTTGGGGGCCTTAGGGCGGATGGGTTAGGAGGTCCTGGGTTTGAGAGTCTAGTGCTTCTGCTACCCCCTATTTCTCCCAAGGACCCCGGCTCATCCGAACCCCTCATTTGAAGGCATAACCCCTTTAAGGCCAACAAAAAATCCTGCACCCCCGCTAGGCACTCGAAAAATTCAAAAGGCCCATATAGTGACGAATAGTGGGTAGTCAGGGGTATGAAAAAGGGTAGTGGGGCGGGGGGAGGTCTAGTAGGGCAAATCCCTGAACTCCTAAGCCTAAGTCTGAAACCCAGTCGGAATTCCAGACTAGTACAGGGTAGTGGACAAGGAACCCTGAACTCAAAACACACACTTTCCTTTTGCTTTTGATTCAGAGCTCCTTGAAATCCCCATAGAACTCCTAAGCCTAAGAGCACAAAACCCTCATAAACAGCGCAGAAAAGTCCCTTCAACGGCTGCTAAACTCCTTGAAAACCGGTACGACGATGCACTGAGCAAGCCGTTCCTAGGCTGGTTTTACTGCCATGGCCTTCGCGGCCGCCGCCACAGGCACCAGGGCCCTGGCAGCCTACCAGGCACGGGCCTCCTGGGTTTGGGGTTTCGGAGGATTCGGGGTTTAGGGTTTATATAGGGTAGTATAGGCAGTAAAGGGGTTCAGGATTCAGCTAAGTAAAAACTAATTAAAATGTGTTTGTTTAGAGGCTTTAGAGGTTGGGCATTTCCATGCTGTTTTAATGGGGCGTTCGGACACGATGGTGCTGTGTTGTTTTTGCTTTGGGCAGTGTTTTTTGTTTGCAGGTGCTCGGAGTTAGTTTGGGATAGTTTGGGTCTTTGGGGTTACAAGCGCCAGTTTAGGGTCGTTGCGTTCTGCGGTTTCAGGTATTTGGGATGCTAGTTTAGTCATCTATGTAAGGGTACTTGAGCATTTCGGCTTTTGTGTGGTTTTGGGCTTTGGGGTCGCGTGCTCTGAGGTTTGCAAGTAACTACTTTTGTTGTGGGTCTTCGGGGATGGAGGGTCTGGTTTGAGGGCTACTTTGGCTTTATCCGGGTTGGGCTCAGGGCTTTTTGGTCAGAGACAGGTGCGTCGGGGGTTCGGAAATGGGGACCATCGTACACGTTTTATTAGTGCGTCAATGTGCCAAATCCCCCCGGCCCCTCACCAACAGTCACACATTCAACCCGCTTATAAACTTGCAATCCCGATGAGAGGTGATCCTTGGCATTTTCGTGCTGTTCGCATTCATCGGGGCTCCCTTGAGCCAAACGGCGCAGACGCCGTGCTTGCACCAAGATTCTCAAACTTGAGTTGCAAGGTGTTGGGACTCTTGACTTCTCTACCTTGCAGGCTGAACAGGCTATGTAACCCCTAAACCCGGGAGACAAAAAGCCGGCTAAGCCATTGCAGGCCAAGCCGGCCTTCCAAAACCGACTTCTGCGAGTAGAAAGCAACGCATCAAGACTCCGAAGCTTTTTTGAGGGCTCGATAGCTAGCAGCTTGCAGCCTGAACAAAGAATCTCATTCTGCTTCTCATTCACAATATTTAATGATATTTAATATTCAGATTTTCTAAAAGTGCAGTGGCACTGGGACTTTTTTCAGTCTGCTCCCGAACAAATCCCATCCCAAGAATCTAACCTCGTGTTTTTGGTGCGTGATTCAGCCGGTTCGAGAAACGCATCCGCCTTGATTCATGAGAGGGTTTTGGACCACATTCCTCTTTGACAAGGAGCATGCTCCCGCCGCTGATTGAGTCCAGCAACACCTCCGGCGCAAGGAAAGTGGCAAAGAATGCGCGGAGCTGAGCAATTGTTGAGGGGTGTAGCAGTGTAGCAAATATCATGTGCAGGGCCGGTACGAGAGCGAGTGTACACTGCTGTGACCTTTCCCAATTCGTATTGCATCTAGGCGAGGATAAGGTTCATTTTTTGCGATGACGTTGGATGCTTAGAAATGGTTGATCGTCAAGTAGGCCGAGAGCGGCATGGGGTGCCTGTCGTTACAACTGTTCGATCCTCTCGCAGGTGCTGACCATCGGCACGATCGTGTCTCGGCTGGATCAGAGGAAACGCCATGCTGCCAGTCCTGGACAACGACGATATTGAGTTGTGCTAGTCCACATGTCAGACCCTGACGCTTGTTAACAGTTTACGTAGACTTGGGAATTATGTGATAACAGGTTATAAAGTGTATGATTGCAGTGCAGAAATCGTTCAATCCACTTATGCTGAATCCGGCTCAGTCTAGCTGTGACTCACCTTTGTGTGCATGTCAGTACGCTGCACCTCTGTATCCATCGAAAGTTTGTTGCGCGCAGCTCAGGTCAGCATCGTCGTGGGACCCTGAGAAATACACGGCGTCGGTGCGGGTTTTAGATGCTTGGGATAAGGATCCAGAATATGCCGAACGGGAGAAGGTTCAGTGAGTCCTGGGCAAGAGGTGCAGTCTCGCATTTTCACTTTTGCACTTCTTGAGGTTGACAGATGAGTCGCTTCTTCAGATTATGACAAGTTTTATACTCCGTGGCACACACACACACACTTCCACGCACGTCGTTTGCCAGATATTATGTACGGAGAATCTCATCCGACCCACGCTGTATCACGGGCTCGGGTGATTTCCAGCTGAACTTGACAGAGAGCACGCCAGAGGGAGAGAGAGAGAGAGAGAGCTTGCGATGCATGAGTGCATTATACATACACCTACAAGCAGACGAACGCTCAAGTGCCTGTACTGCGATGTTCCTGTACGCCACGCCGTCCTGCCAGAATTTCCTTGGACTCCGAGGCCAGTGTCCTTTGCTACGCAGCTTTGATGCTGGGGGCTGGTACCTTCACCGCTGACCCCGCAGTGCGACGAGCTCAGAAGGAAGACCAGGGTTCAAGACTCGCCGACAACACAGCAACTCCGAGGCCCTTTGAATCAGAACTTTTATGTTTTCAGTCGTTTGCTCGAGATTTTCCAGCCCTAATCAATTTATTCTTGGATGTCCTGCCACCTTTGCAGATGGTAGTATGCTTCTGACAGTTGAAGCTCTTTAACCATTCCGAGCCATACGATCTGTTCAGATGGTGCGTGGACTTCCATCCGCAGGCCAACAAATTCGCATTGCAATTCAGCAAGATTAGGGAGCATCGTATGGATTCATGCTACTTCGCTTGCTGCTGTTTCAGGTGCGTTTGGTTCGGACCTGAAGCTCGTTATGTATGTGCGCGACTTTGTTTGTTGATGGGACGCCCTTTTGTTTTATAAACCGGAACTGGAGGCAAACAGGTTTAGGCCTGTAGAGCTCTTGAGAAACTACTACGTATACCTTGTCTGCTCCCATACAGTAGCAGCCCGAACTTGCGCATGATGTATTAACGACCGGTGGGCGTCTCTGGACCGAATCTGCCCGTGTTTGCGAAAAAAACATGACTTTGTATAACATGGCGGAGCTTGACAGCGCCCATGAGTTTGTCGTCGACTTTTACGTATGGCTTCTGGCATTGGGCCTGTGTGTGTGTAAGAGTCCCATTGCTCTGCAACCCCTTCAACCCGCAATCCCGCAGGTGAAAAAAATCTTCCGGTCTCGTGCAAGTTTTGTGCGGGTCTCGCGGTGAGGTTAGCCGAAATCCACGGTGCGGCCTTCATGGTGTGCCTGGCCACCGGCAACTAGGACCAGAGTTTTTGGAGGTCTCTGGGGTCGAGGATGGCCCGAGGTGGGAGCTGTGCTAAGAATAGGTCGGAGCGCATTTCTGAAGGTCTCTGGCCACGAATTCTCTTTGAAAGCCTGATCCTAAACCGTAGGCCGCAGATGTTTCAATAGTTCACACTGCTTGGCTCATGATGCCTCCCAAAGCCCAGTCTGGGCCTGGAGACCGTAATTTTCCTGTTTCCGTAACATGATTATACCAAATGTACGCCAAGACCCCATGCAAATCGTGAAGATCCTATGCATATACATCTATAATCATCTCTCTCTCTATATATATATATATACACATACATATATACGCACACATAATTACATACATACACATGGTCATTCATGTGTTAGAGGGGGCCGGATAATCAGTAATTTAGCAGGATTCCCTGGGATACGTGAGTATAAAAGTTATATGCTATTCACCGGAACTTTGTTTAGTTAAGGCCATTTGTGCAACTGTTAAGTCGTTAAACACAAGTTGTACTCGTAACACAAGATGTCCCGTTCATCCCCGGAGTCGTTGAACTCTTCGAATCTCCTCGCTAGAGCAGGGACTCTGCATGGAAGGTTCCAGGCTCAACCAACTTGGGACCGCCTGGATCGCGAAAATACTGGCAAGACGCGGTGCGTATCTCCGGGCTCTTTAGTCTTCATCATACATAACTTGAAGCTTTCGGGGAGCGCAACAAAGTAGACCCTGTAAGCCATGGACCAATGACAAGAATGAAGTCTAGACACTAGAACCCTATAACCCCCGAAGCCAGCCTTACAATTTCCGGGTGAATCAAGGCACGCTGCTGATCTCCAGTTCTGTCGACGGGGCTTTGCTGGCAGCCAAAGACTTCGGGCGCCTTGGCGGGTGAGGCAAAACCCCATCTTGGCGTTCTTCCGGTTGGCTCACGGAACTTTAACTTCTGGGATTTCTATATGAAGCATAACAAGTAGGCCAAAAAAAAACTTTTAGAAGGGGTTCAGAAGTCAGCCAAGCCGTGATGTGGAAGCCCTAAGGACTGGGTTTTGGCTTCTTTGAAGGGTTTTATGAAGCAACACTTTCATGTAGAAGCCTTCTCAGGACCCTGTATTCACAAGTGTTTTTTTTCTCAGGCGGGGTGGGAGGTCGAGGTTGCAGATTTGTTATTATTCCTGGGGCTCCAGTTTCTGGGACAGGTGTGGGCTCAAAACTGCGCGCCTAAACCCAAAAGACTCGTAAGGTCATATGGGGCTCCGGTTTCAAGGCTGACTCGATCCGGGCTTTACCCACATTGGCTTGATGTAGTTTTCAAGGTGTTGGCCCCTCCGTACACACGAACTCAAGAACCCAAACGAATAATTCTTGAATCAAAAGACAGTGAAATCGCTGTCTTTCACGCCCCCAGGTTCATCGTGACGCAGCAGGTGTCCGTGGTGACGCTGCAGCTCTTGGTTCTGAGGACTCCCCTGCTTAAAGCCGATAAGAGATGCCTAAACCCTGAAGCACCCACGAACCTGCCTTGAATACCTCCGTATAGACCCCTCAAAAAGAGTATCCAAAGCCTCCATTTCCATTAAACCCTCCCATTTGCCCAAACCCTTAAGTGGCTATCCCTGCCGAAGGACGGTCTTGCACTTGAAGCTGGGGCTGCGCCTTGCCAGAACTTTATGACAAGTTGCGGGCGTTGAGGGCGCTAGATAGGGCGTTGAGGTATGGTTTTGGGTTCAGGGTTTCCGTTGGGTTGGGTGACTTTCCAAGGTTTCATGGTTCATGGCTTTTGCATGTATGTGGTGTTCTGCTGCTAGGGCTTGTTATTGTTGGCCTCTCTTTGTTTCCACGAACCTGTTGGACATCACTCGCCTCCTGCTGGAGATTGTTGGAGTGCTCATTGCCTTGATCTTCTCATTTTTGTCCCGTCGTTTCAGCCCAGGCCCTGATACATTGCACCAGTAGCTTCTCCCGCATTCGGCCTGCGGCATGTGGGTGACGAGTCTTTGGTGTATAGACTTCAGGTGCTAAGTTTTGTCTGATGACGTCTCAAGGTTTCTGACATTCAGAACCCCCGAGACCCTAAACCCTCTACCCCCCAGCCCAAAACCCTAAACCCCAAAACCATAAACAATCCCTCAACCTTAAATCCTACCGCCTACCGCGGCGAAAGCTGGAGAACTGAGGCCTGGCATTTGGATGACTTTGGCAGTGCCTGGGCCTGGCTTTGGCACTTTGATGATGCTCTACTTCTGGTACGACAAGGGGTCCTTCTTTAGGGTTTATAAGGTTTAGGGCCAGGGTAAGAAGAGGTTTTGCAGAAATCCTGCACCCTGATATTCTTAGCTGGATGTGTTTTTTTGGCATCCGGCCCTGTATGGAAACAGCCAGGTGAGGGTCCTTCTCTTCGTGCCCATTGCCCTGACCTGGCTTGGAATGGGCTACGGGCCGCTAGGGCGCGTGCTGTTCCCAAAGAAAGGAACTCGCCCTGCCTGAGGAGTCTCTCGCGCGGACTATTTCAATGTGCAGGGACTTACACCTCTGGATTTCGGCTCTGGGAATCCGCTATTCCAGCATGCTAGACCCTCCCGATAGAGTTGCCCTTCCGAAATCTGCAAAGTTGTTTTGTTTTGTTCCCTGGACCCGATGCGACACCTGAGAATTCAATGTTGCTTCGGGGCCTTTCTCGATCCCGGTGGACATTGAGGTGAGCTAGAAGTTGCATATGCACGCAGTACCTGAGCAATCAAGATTCATATCTTGATTCACGATGCCCTAGTTTTCATCCTAGTGCCCTCAAACCCTAAATCCCCAAATGCCCTCGCCCCGATGGCCAGAAAATCTACACACCCTACACCCCATCATGAACCCTAACCCCCCAAAGCCCAGGATCCTTACACAGCTTTCCGTAAGGGTCCCAGTACCTAGTAACCATATGCTCTCCCGAAAAAAGATATGAACCTGGAGCATTACTTACTATCCGCAACTAAAGTACCATATTATTGCGTCCTTGGGACCCTCCGAGTTTGTTTCGGGGGAGAAGCCTAAACCCTAAACCCCCCTTAAACCCTAAACCCTAAACCCACTCTAAGAACCCTAAACCCCAAACCCTAAACCCTCAGGAGGGTTCTCCAAAGCACCCGGCCTCCAGGGTTCCTGGCTGAAGCTTCAAACAAGGCCAGGGGTTACAGGGTTTAGAAGCGAGGGCGTAGGGTTTAGGGCTTATAAAGATCAGAATAGCTGTGCTTCGATCGTCAGGATGTCTGCAGTAAGCTGCAGGTGGATCTATCAGAAGAACTCGTCGCATCACTGCGATTCTTCTACCCAGCTTCGGATTGAGTCAACGAGGGGTTGGGGATTCAGTGTTCAAGGCTATCTCCCAACAATCGAGATCAGCTTCGAGAGTTAAGTGTCATGTTGCACGCTTCCTCCTGCGAGGAGATAGGAGCAGGTGGGCACGCGATGATCATGGTAGCTTGCGTTCGACATCCTCAATGTAACATCTCACAGATGAGATCTGGAAGATCTTTCCACAATTTTCGCCTTCCGATTTTCAGCGCTCACACAGCCCAGAATTGGTCCGAGGACAAAAAGTGACTGATCCACAGCATTAGTTGATTGAAAGCCTTTAACTTGACTCTAGCTGTGATAAGTTTGAAGTGGGACATCTTCAACTCAACGCTTAGCCTGCATAGTCTTGACGCTAGAATGACTAGAGCAAGACACTGAGAGGACAGTGACAATGGCAAAAGGGTTGGATCCAGCCGGCATTATCCCTGCCTAGTCCTGCAGTCAGACGTTGGCATGTGGGGTCTTGGGCCTTGGGTTCGGGGTTTAGGATGTATTGCAGTTTGTTATGCCCCCCCAACATTTGTAGTTGTGGGGGGAGTTGAAGTGCCGGGGCGATTTTTGCACGTCCCCACTGATCCAGCTTGAAATTCTTTTGCACGGCTCAAAACACGGGAAGACAGGACACGAGATGAAACCCCCACCTTTCAGCCGAGAAAGTGGATTCGTGTTTTGGGTGCCAGATCTCACTAGACATCCAGGTGCGCAGTCCTTCTAGCCCATCCGCGCTTCGGCAAGCTCAGCAGCAAAGATGTTCAAGGCGCCCCTGCCTGAAAGAGCCAGCAACAAGCATGCGGACAACCCGTTATGAAAGCTACATGTCAATACGCAGTGAAATCGAAGTCCAGACGATCGAAATGCCCCACACCCCGAAGAATTCGAAGCCCTTTTCCTAGTTGCCCAAACACCGAACGGCATGACGACACTGCAGCTGATCCTTAATAATAGATCCCTGAACATGTTTGGTGGCCTTCCGCAGTCGAGCCTGAAAGCCTGAAAGCTTCAAATGCCTTGGCCTAGTCCCACGAATCCCAAATTCCCAGAAATGCTTGAGCCAGCTTATTCACCCGTCTAGGATGTGAACTGCGGTGAGTCGTGTATTGAAGCCGGACCGCCCAAACCCACTTGAAACACTCACTGTGGTTTGAACCTACATGTAGCTTGTACCCGCCACATGCATTTTGACAAACAGTTGCGACATCTAGAACCCGGCAAACCCAAAACAAGAATCTGTATTCTCCGGAAGCCTTTAGTTTGAAGGATTTATCGGAGTCTATGGAAGAGACTATAATACCGTATAAAACCCAAATTATATCGGAGTCTATGGAAGCCTTGCGCAGGCCGAACGCCGCTCGAACGCGCCCTGGCGGAGCTGCGGAGTCGCCCAGGGCAGGGACGAGGAGTCGAAGGCTTCGGGGCGTCGAGTTGAAAAAATGAAAGACGGGCTTTATAGTGCAGTAGAAGCCCGAAAGTTGGAAATCCAATAGTTATAGCCTCCACCCTCAGGTGTAATGTAACTATAGGAAATCCCAGCACTAGTTGTCCGTAATCCCGCTTCCAAGTCGTTGCGGTTTACTCTATGTTTTGGTGAGTGGGGTTTTGGGTTTTTTTTGTAGTCTGGTTATGTTATGTTAGGGAGGGACCATAGGGAGGAATTCGAAAGTGAGAAGATTCCATGGACCGGGCTGCAGGGCATAGACATCTGGTTGTGACATCTTGAATGAGGTCTTCTGTGACAGTTGCGGTGTCTGTCAACGTGTAGGAACACGGGTCCTTGAAAGAGGATGCTGGGTTTTAAGTTAAGGCGCGTGTGTTTCTGGGGTCAGGTACACACCCGTCGACAAGGCTTGCCCTTTGGCCCCAAGCGTCAAGGTCATACTCTTAAAGCCTACTGTACACTGTACTACTCCCCGAATGTGGGGCTCACTACAAGCCCGTACAAGTATTGAGCACTCGGACGTTTAGGGTAGTAAATAAGCCAAGCTTCAATCGCTCGCACAACTCCAGGCTTGTCAGGCCCTGGCCTTTGTTGCTAGCACTACGCTCAGATAATCCAAGCAAACCAATACACACGAACCGATGCAGCGAGGGATCCTAGACGTTGTGTTCAATATTTGTTGATCAAGATCCCCTAGATCCTAACACCCTAATGCCCTAAACCATAATTAAACTTACCCTGCAATGCGGGCTCGTCCTTGCTAAGTAGGAGGGTAAAAAACCCTAACTAAACACATAATAATCAAACCTAAACTGTGGAGTTGGCTTCGGACCCTCCAGCATCCTGACTCCTAAGCAGTGCCTAAGCAGGTTCCAGCCCGAGAGAAGTGCAGAGCTACCATCGGGCTGGGGCAGCTTGGGCCTTGTCTTCTGCTTGGCTACCTGTAGTAGATTTGAATATCGGGCTTGTCTGTCTGATGTTTTGTGATTTTCGGTGAACCCCTAAACCCTAAACCCTAAACCCCTAAACCTTAAACCCTACGGTTTTTGTGAACCAAGTCTAAGTCTGAACACGAAGCCTGGGCAGTGCCGGAAGATCCGAGCTCGGATGAGTTGTGCAGAGCACGATGTCTTTGTGCAGGCAAGCCTGAACTCTACAGACCTTATCTTCGTTTCGGGGGTTCCGGGGTGGAAAAGGGTTTCGGGTTTAGGGGTTTAGGGTTTAGGATGCCTGAATCCCAAAAACCCCCCGAAGATTGTCTGTTAAGGCAAGCGCTGCCCGCCTCCTCGCCGTGTTGCAGCATGGGCCCACCGCGCTGGAGGCTTTGAGGGAATTGGTATCTTCGAAGCCTTAAGCCCGGGGTCCTACAAATCCGAAAGCCCTCAAATCCGAAAAGCCTGAAACCCGGAACCCTTGCGCCCCGGCTCCCGGCTTGCAGAAGGCCGAGGAACCTCCAGCCCTGGACGAAGAGAAGGAGGAGCGCAGAGATGCAGAGGCCCTCGCTGAGGCAAGGCCTCGGGGTTTTCGGGGTTTACGGTGTAGGGTTTAGGGCTTGGGGTTTAAGGTTTAGGGTTTAGGAGGTTTGTGCCTGTGGAATTCTGCTTCAGAGGTGTCACTGTGACTCGGTGTTTGTCTGCCTGCTGCCAAACACCACACACACACACGTGTAATTGCGCACAGGCACATGTACGTATGCATGTTATAAGAATGATGTATGTATGTGCACGAACATATTTTAGATACACACAGGAAGAGGTACAGGCATTGATACGCACATTTCTTACATGCGTCTTCCACGCTCTCCCTCTCTCTCTCTCTCTTTCCCTCTTTCTTTCTTTCTTTCTCTCTCTCTTTCTCTCTCTCTCTCTCTCTCTCTTTGTCTCTCTCTCTCTCTCTCTCTTCGTCTTTCTGTGTCTCTCTCCGTCTCGCTTTGTCTCTTTTTTTTGTTCTCTCTCTCTCTCTCTCCCTGTCCCTCCTTATCTGCTCTCCCCCTCTCTCTCTCTCTCTCTCTCCCTCTCTCCATCCCTCGCTCCCTCCCTCAACCCATACCTAGTTGTCTTTCTGCCCAGCTGGCTCTTCCAAGCAATCAGTCTACCCATCTGCGCATAAAATGCATGCTTGCATGCTGGCACAGATAACTCTTTGTGGCATCATTGTGCTGAAAGGCACATGACCCTTAGTCATCAGAGCACAAGCTAGAAGATTAGGACGAGCAGTCGGGGTTGCGTTTCTTTGAGCCGACTCCATTTTTAAGGCGAACACCGAAGTACCAATGGTCTTCCGTGTGGCTTCTGTGACGAAATCAGAGAAGCCCCGTTTGCCCCCCTCGCCAGGATCCGGCTATGCCATCGCCAGAACCTGGGTTGTGCCGGGTCTCGATCTATTGGGTTCTTTCTCCGGTGCCGGTATGGGGTACAGGAGTTAAAGGTTGATGGGGTTCATTTTCCAAACTCTCGCATGCCCTCAGGCCCTGGATACTCAGCGGCAGCGGAACGGGATTGTCCACGACTTGCATAGGTTCTCCAGCAAAGGTCATTTGGATCGACATGTTGTGCTCTGAATTGTTCATGCTGGCATAGCCATCCTTGCTGTCTCTGCTTCCACCCCTTCTGGAGCCTTTAAAACCCTACAATCTCTCGACAGCACAACCCCTATCCCGAAACCTTAAGCCCTAAATTATACACCTGAAAACCTCCTGTCTTCGCCGAGGCAGCAGGCCAAGAGAGGAAGCCCGATGAGTGCGCTGGCAGAGCCAACACCTTCAAGGTTCGTCGTTCGGGTGTTGAGGTGGAAGGCATAATACTGTCCGAGAGGTACGATGTGCTCCATCTTCAGCATTCTGATTTGTCTACACAAAAGCATCCCTCCGCATTTGCATTTTGATATGTCGAGAGTTCTTATACCTTACACAAGCCGCAAAGCCTACAGACGTCATTTCTCTAAATCTGTACGCCCTAAACTCTTCAAGTCTACACTGCGCGAGGCCTTCTTTTATCAGACATGGCTTTTCATAACATGTTCGTGAACAAGAGTAGTGATCACAGAGATCCAAGAACAGCCGAACCCAACATCCTCATAGAACCCCCTAGGAACTCTTCCGCCCACCGTGGAGCATTTGTGAGATAAGATCCTCATTATAAGACCCGGCCTTTCATCGATGGCCCGCATATGATGGCTCACGGTCACCCGTCCACAAGAGACAGAAGCAAACGTCTCAGGGGACCGGAACTGTTGGCTGACCACCTCGCACCGGAGTCGTTGGCGCTCGCTCAGAGTGATCTCCACGGCGGGCCGGCAGCAGGAAAGTTCGGTGAAAGGGCTTTAGATGATCCTATAGAGTGCTTGGGAGGGGGGTAATGGTGAGTTTTCATCAGTTTCTGTAATTAATTTCGCAGACAAGCCTTGGTTGTTTCTTGTGGAGGTTTTCAATCTCAGCTTGGGTCTCTGTCTACCATATAAAAACACTTGGGGAACTGACTAAGAGATGTGTGAAACAGTGGGCCATCGTAAGACTGGTATAGGGTTGCATTGTGTTTTTTTGCAGGTAGTTTGCTTCTGTTCTGCAAGGTTCTATGTGGCTGGGTTTGTACACCGTGCCCTGAGGATATGCTAGGCGATGGTTCCGTAGCAGTTCCGAAGGAGCCCATGTGACCCATATGCACTTAATGGGGTTTAGGGTCTGAGGTTTAATAATGTCCAGGCTTCTACATGCCTTCTTCGCATGTGCCATGTTGTGTGCAGATCTGTCTGCGTCGGGAGTTTTAAAGGTGCGGGTACAATGTCAAGGGGTTGCTTGGCATGTTTGCCTTGCAGAAGCAGTCGTATAGGCCCGAATAACGAACAATACTATTTGGGGGTTCCTTGTCGTAGTTATATCGGGTATAGTACAATGTACCACCAGACACTCTGTTCTGATTATAGAAGCCCCCTGCGTTGGGATCAGCATCCCCGACGTACTACAGCTAGGCCTAGGCATCGGAGCCCAGGTACTCTCAAACAGCCATCTCCGAAGATGCCGGAGATCCGCGCTGCAGAGCCTGGGAGGCTGGAATTTCGGCCTCCCCACCGAAGCCGTGAGGAGGGAGACGTACCCGGGCAGAAATCCTTGAGGCCAAGTTCATCAGACTGGGAGGTTCCATGGTCCAGGGAAGCTCCTGCGCTTCAAGGGCGGCGTGAGCTTCTGCCTCCAGAACGCAGAGGAGAAGATGATTCTCGGAGTTCTTTCCCTTCTGCTTCGGAGAGGCTTCAGATGGAGACACCTTCCAGAAACCCGGCTTCCGTTGGAAGCCTCGGCCTTAGTCCTCAGAGACACCCGCAGCAGCTGCAAGAGGAGCAAGTCCGGCTCCCAACCCCGGCGCCACGCGTAAAGCTCATGTCAGAGGATGCTTCAAGCACGGATCCGACGTCGGCCTTCGAAGGTATCCCCACAGAAGCACCTACCATCCCGGGCATGACAGGCCCCGGCCCCGTCTCCAAGCTTCCGAAACCTTTGCCCGTTCAGCGGAGCCCACCTCTCCCACCTTCGCAGCAGCCAACCGAGGCTGCGTCTCGGGATCCCCTGCCCCTGCCCCTACCTACCCCTTGGTCTGTTTTGCCCCAAGAGCCGGAAAAAGGCAGCAGTTCGGTGCAGCATGCAGCTCTAAACGTGCCACCCCCGTCTCGGGATACGGGGGTGGAAACGCACCTCCCAGAGTTTGCCGAGGAGTCCGAGCCGTCCATGGCTGCAGCCGGCCATGCGAGCCTGGAGATGCCAAAGCTTCCACAGATTCTGCCCAGGGAGGCAGAGAAAGAGGAGGGAGTTTCCAAAACTCAAGATGCATCCATGGCCACAGCACGAAGCGACTTGCCCTCCGAGGATTTTCCGAGTGGCCCGAGCACGGTGCCTGGGGATACGAAGGGCGGAGCAACGGTGGGCTCCGAAACTGTCGACGCGCAACGGCTGCAAGGAGGTGCCGTGTCTTCCGTGCAGAGCAGGACGCTTGGCATGGACATCCCGGTCCTGGAGGAGGTGCCATGCGTGCCGGACGATGCCGGCAGACAAGGCAGCATGGCTGAGGTTGTCGGCACATCCGCCAAGTTGGTGGACGACGTCCCAGGTGCGAAAGGTCTGCAGATGCCGGCACATCCGAAGATGACGCCGTCCGAGGATTCTACCAAGCTCAGTCAAATGAGCCTTCCCCCGGCCACAGCGACGGCCTTTGCCTCCAGCAGCGGTCCCGAAGCAACCGTGCACCGGCACCCTGCCGAACCGATGCGAGCCTTGAGCCCGGAGCCCAAGCCCGAGGCGTCGCACCCAGGGGAGCCCGCTCCAAGCCAGACCTCCATCCCCGAAGCAGCTGGACCACCAATCACCACGGATGTTGTGCATGCGAGCATCTTGCAGGCATTTGTTTTCGCTTCAGGAGTCAAGGTAGGGAGGGAGTGCATTCCTTGCCGCAGAACAGCATAACGTCTACTAGATGAGAGGAAATGGCCTGGAAGCTAACACCTGTCAATGTGCAAGAGAGTTATACTAACGCACGATGGTGTTTTCAGCCCAAGGTATGGAGGGCTTGGAACCCAAGCCGAGCAGCGTCCTGGAGAAGTCGGCAGCTCGTCCGGCGACTGCAGGAGTCCCGGCTAGAAGTTTCAGGCCTTGTGGGTATCGTGATAGAGTGATACGTGTGTGGTATGGAGCAAACCGGGGCTAGGGCTTTAAGGTTTTGGGGTCGATAAAAGTTTAGGGGGCCTTGGGGTCTTTCAGTACCGCAGTAGGCAACTGTTGACCCTCTTCGCTTTGTGTGGTCCTTGTTTTGTTAAACGGCTAGCCTTCCTTGGACCAGGCTTCGAGTAAGAGTGGTAGAGAACGCAGTGCAGCATCACATGACATGGGGGAGCCTACAGGAAAACCTCCAAGACTTTGAGAATGCGCTGTTGGCCAATCGTGCTACAGTAGGAAGAGCTGAGACCGCAACTTAGGTTCCTGCCGTTGTCCAAGCCTTTCTTGGTGTGGGTTTGAAGCGGGTGTGTTGCGGGGGGGGGGGGGGGGGGG